TCTGGAGAGGTTAGGCCTAACAGCTCTGTGTTAGCCTGGGAGAGTTAGCACCCAGTTCAGATTTGAATTCAAAATGCTTGCTGAATAAATGAATATGTTGTTCTAAGCCTTACTATAGTTCTCACATTTGTGAAAATACAATTGGGCTTTCTTGCCCTGTGCAATGTTCAAAGGATACTGTTATTGGAGGACCCTGCTGCTAAGGTTGTAGTCTTCCATGTCCGGATAGCTCTAAGGGGCTCGGCACCATATGAAAGGACTCCCCTTCTCAGCAGGGGGCCTCCTGCTCTCTGCCTGACTTACCTGGAAAGTGCCGCCAAGCTCAGATGCCTGACCTTATTTGGAACATGACCTTTGGCATGTTCCATGTTACCTGGAGTAAAAACTACCCCCCAGGTTTTTCCTATATGATAATTAGGCATTGCCCCATAGTCGGATGATAGGATCCCTCTACTACATGTAAATAAAGCATTCTATGAGCACCTATCAGCTGAAGCTTTGGCTGCTGCCTCCACACTATATTTTCCCTAACCCCCAACTGAATAAACGGGGCTATTTCACTGAATCTGGAGCTGTATCACTGAGTCTGGAGCTGTATCACTGAATCTGCCTCCCCAGAAGGGCTTTCTTCCATTAGTGCTCACTAGCCGTCCTGACCCCGTTCGTTGCTTGGGCTCCTTTTGTTCTCGTGGATTGGTGGCCAATGACCCACGAGGGGAGGGTGAGACCCCACATATTTTCTAAGTTAAAGAATTTTCTTTTTTTAAACAAAGTTGTGAGGTAGATCTATGGGGGATATTGTTTAAAGAATGAATGACAAGGGAGTTTGAGAAACTCAGGGTCATTTCTCATTTTGGCCTTATGTAAGCCCAGTTTATTGACTGTCCTTGACAAGATGTCTTTTGGAAAATGTGCATGGTCTGTGTGACCAATTTGGTTTTTCTTTTTGGTCTTCCTGTAGCTCCAGCTGTCCTAGAACTATGTAGACCAGGCTGGCCTTGAATTGTACTCACAGAGATCTGCCTGCCTCTGCCTCCTGAGTGCTGGGATTAAAGGCGTGTGCCACCATGCCCAGCTTACTTTGCTTTTTTAAAATAATTTATTTGTGGATGCTAGTGATGTGCATGGCACTGGAAGGAATTTTAATAGAAATATATATTATTACACCAAAGGGGGTGAAACGCCTTCCATGAATAACAGCCAAGACCTCTGATTATAGAAATTTCTCTTTATTAAAGACATAGGTGGTCCATGTCTTTAATCTCAGCACTCAAGAGGTAGAGGCAAGTGGATCTCTGTGAGATTGAGGCCAACCTGGTCTACACAGCAAGTTCCAACCCAGCTGGGGCTATATAGGGAGACACTGTCTCAAAAAAAAATTTTTTTTTCCCTTTATGGAAGGGCATGAAACTCTTGTTTAGGTAGGCTGATGGTTTCAAGTAAATACTATCTTGGCCAATACTTAAAATCTTTTTAGTATTCTAGGCTGGCCTTGAACTCAATATGTAGCTGAGGATGACTTTGAACAATACTAATATATACCACCACACTCAATTTATGTGGCACTAGCAATGGAACCCAGGGCCTCATGAATGTTAGGCAAGCACTCTAACACCTGAGCTACATCCCCAGTAGTGTTTTTTATTTCTTCCTTTCACCTGCCCCATTTCTTTGTGATTGCTCCAATGAGAGAGCAACAACAGAGGTGTCCCATACTAGTGCTTTTGCAAATGCATCGCCTGGAGATCTTTTTTCAAAAAAAGATTTTATTATTTTATTTTTAATTATGTGTATGTATGTGGGTCTGTGCACAGAAGTGCAGGTGCCAGAAGAAGCCAGGGGCATCACATTCTGTGCTGGATAGCTTTGGTGTCAGCTTGACACACCTGGGTTGAGGGAGCCTCACTTGGGGAATTTCCTTCATTGGACTGGCCTGTGGCCATGTCCATGGGGCACCTTCTTGATTGTTGGGTGATGTAGGAGGGCCCAGCCCACTGTGGGTGGTGCCACCCCTGGGCAGGTGGGCCTGTGTTGCATAAGAAAGCAAGATGAGCAGGGGCCAGGGGAGCAAGCCAGTAAGCAGCGTTCCTCCATGGCCTGTGCTCCAGCTCCTGCTTCCAGGTTCCTGCCCTGAGTTCCTACCTTGGGCTCCCTGATGAAATGTGACATGGGAGATGTAAGCTGAATAAACCCTTTCCTCCCCAAGTTGGTAGTGGTCAGAGTGTTTTGTTACAGCAATGAAGAAACAAACTAGGACACATTCCCTGGAACTGGAGTTACAGGTGGTTATGAGCCAGCTGGTATGAGCTCTGGGAACAGAATTCTAGTCCTTTGCAAGAGCAGTGTGGGCTCATAACTGCTGAGCTCCTTATCCAGTCCTTCTTTTATTCCTGCTTCCCTTCCCTCTCTTCTCCTCCTTCCCCCCCTTTCCTTCCTTCATTCCTTTTTTTTTTTTTTTTTTTTTTTAGATCCTGTTAGAATGCAGATTGTGGTCAGAATGTGGCCTGAGATCTTAGTCTTCAGAGACACTCCTAGGTGAATGACACTGCTGGTACAGGGACCATAGTTAAGGCTCAATGACCTACAGGGAACTTCTGTGCTTTTCAGAGAAGTCTACAATGTGACTCATTGGGCTTCTTTGTGCAAAGTGACATCAACTGCCACTATCTCTAATGAGAAAGACTTGTAAGAACTTTTTTTTTTTAACCGGTAAACCAGTTCATTCAAACAGTGAGTTAGGCATTTGCAATGATGACCTCATCCTCCACTCCCAGCTCAGTACTGATGGACGTAATATGCTTAATAATCTCAAAATGTCTGTCAGTGAGTCACTGGGTTCTTGTCTGGAAGAACTGCATGTCTCAGAACCTTCACTACAAGGTATTTTTCTTGTTACCAGTCTCAAAGTCTTGGTAGACCAACTAGTGTCTTTTCTCTCTGAGATTCTTTTCTGCCTCTGAGCAAGTCAGGACTTCCCTTCTCCAGAGACTTGTATGATTCTAAGTTGGTGAATTGGATATCTTTCCTGTACCCTTCAAGGCTGCTGCACATAAAAACCACACTCTGGGATCTACCTGTTGAGCCCTGAGATCCACAATAGGAACCTTTTTCCAGACTGTGTGCTGGATGACTAGAACGCAGTGATGGTGCTTGGATGTCCCACTGCTGTTGGCCTCACCTCGCAGCACAGCATCAACTGAGTGACCTTTCCTGAATGTCTATGTGGTGCACAAGCTAAGGGAGCATAAGCCCTTGACAGAGAAGGCTTTGCTCTTCCTCAGAGAATTTTGTTCTTGGAATTCCATCAGTTACCCCTTTAAGAGTGTGGTCAATGTACATGACATGGCTGGATGACAATGTTATAAAATCATCACTTTGTACAATAACTATTCACCAACTAAAAATGAGTGACAAGTGAAAATGGGCAGTTGAACTGAGCAGACTTTTCAGATGAAGTACAAATCGTCAATAAATACATGAAAAAAAAATTCATCTCTAGCAATCAAGGAAGTACAAAGCTACGATGATGCCAAGTATGGCGTCTCATGCTATAATCCCAGAAGGCTGAGGCAGGAGATTGCTGTTAGAGAGTACCTGGGCAACACAGTGAGTTTGGTCAATATGGGTTACAGATTGAGACCCTTAAGACAAACAAAAAGCCAAAAGAAAACAAAACAAATGACGTATAGATTCTTCCATCTCACCTATCAGAATGGCCAAGAAAAAGCACACCAAATGTTGGCAAAGATGTGGGAAAAAACTCCTTATACACTGTTGGTGGGAACGTGGATTAGTCATACCCCTGTGGAAATCAGTATGGAGGGTCCTCAATAATAAAAACAGAGCTACCAAGTGATCTAGCAAATTATGCAATCAGCCGAAGTGCACATCAGTGGATGAATGGATAAAGAAAACATGTACATATATATACACACAGTGGAGTTTTACTCAATAAAGGATGAAATTATATGTGTTGCAGGAAAATGGATGGAATTCAGTATCATACTGAGATAAGTCAGTCTCACAACGTGTTTCCGTGGAGTCCAGGCGAACAAATGACAGGAAATTAAAAGGGGCACTCCTAAGGACCTGCAAGTGGACAGGTGGAGGGCGGGATGAGTAATACAAGGGGTCAATATAATCAGTGTATATTATATGCATGTATGAAAACGTCATGAGGACCTCTGCACTAATTTCAAATATTGCTATTCTGGGGCTGCAGAGATGGATCAGTGGTTAAGAACACTGACTGTTCTTGCAGAAGACCCCAGTTTGAATCCCAGCACCCACACGGCAGCTAACAACTGTCCGTAACTCCAGTTCCAGGGGATCTGACACTCTCTTCTGTCCTCCGCGGGCATTGCACTATATGGGTGCACTCATATGCAGGCGATACACGCATATACATAAAATAAAAAATAAAAATATTAAAAAATATTGCTATTCTTCCCTAAAAACTGATGGTTATTACTAAGCAGCAGCATATGCTACAGTAACTACACACCTGTTGGTCTTGGACCTACAAGTCAAGTCTCTTTTATTTGTACTCCTGGGGACTACTGCCTTCTGAGTACAAGCTGCCTCCTCTGAGCCCAGCTTTTTACCATGGAGACTTATCCCTGGAGTTGCTAGCCTTTTCTCAATCTTCAATTCTACCACCGATGGTTTTGCTCTCAGTATCTAAAAAGACGATCTGCATGTGGAGTCTGGCGTCTTACTGTTCCTCCTTTTAGAATGGAGTACTGTGTAGGAGAAAGTACGAAGCTTCAGAGGCAGGTGGGTCCAAGTCAAACCCCACTGATGTCATTTCTTGTCTAACACTGTGGACCTATTGCTTATCTGAGTTCAACTCTCCCATGTGGAGTCAAACCTGCTCTGTAAGGTGGCTGTGAGGAAGGAATACAGTAATCCCAAACACATGGACAGCAGCTACTAACAGGGCATCTGTCTATGGCAGAGCTACAAACCCTGGTGCATGAAATACAAAGAAAAACAAACAGCACTGGTAACAACACATTTATTTCCGTACCCTGTTGTGTGACCGGGAGGTGCTTTTCACTTTCCAATAATTGATCAGGTTATAACAATGAAAATTCCAGAAGATAAACTAGTAATTTATTGTTGCTCATAAGTATCAGTAAACAGACATGGTACCACATAAAAGAATTTTAAACACTTCTAACTTTTTGGCAGTTTTCTGTATGGACCACTAGACTTTGGCAACAGGCCTGATGGATAATAGGCTTTCTCCAGACACAATGGGAAAGAAGTGGATCTGATGTTTGGACTTCAGAAATTTAACCAAGATTCTTAGGACGTTTCGAAAGGCCAGCATTATTCAATCCTGCCACATTTACCATTCATGTAAATAATATTGCTATTCAAAGTGAGCACAAGGTAGGCTGCCAAGCTCTATCAGCAACTACTAGTTTCAAGTTGTAGTTTTAGCATTTGTTGAAAAGTTTCTTGCAGATGGCAGGCTGTAAGTTTAAGTAGTTTTAACATAACCTTTTGTATCCTAGTTAAAGGAATTCACACAGATCCTGAGTCAAAGCATTGGCCAGTAAATTCAGCTTCCTGTTAGAATTAGCCGTGTTTCCAAACAGCTCCATCATTTAGTGGGCTTCCTTCCAGGCCCTTTATTACCACTTTCAAATCTTACAGAGTATATTTTTAGAGGGTTTGATACGTGTAACAGATGGGTACTCGCACCAGAAGAGGCTCTAAGACTGTGTTGCTCACCGAGTATGAGATTTACATTACATTAAATTAAAATTCTATACTGTTGGAGATAGACAAAACAGGGAGTTCTCAGATCCTAGAAAATATGGCTAAGGAAGCAGAGAACTCAGACAATGAATCCACCTCCGTGAAACTAACTCAGCGTAGTAAAATAGAATGAAGTGCCCTGTCTTAGGAAAACGTTTATTAATAAGGAACAACGGGGACACCACACATCATTTCTTTGGAGATTAAAGTGCAGGCTATGAAATGGCATATAAAATAATGCATAAAATAGTGCAATCCCAAGGTGCCATTATTTTCGTTTATGACGCATAGCCTAGGTTCTGTATGTCCATTCTCTCTCAAAAATCCAGCTGTAGTGACACCTTTTAGCTTATTTATTTAGGCATTACTTAAACTCTGGTTTACCCACTCTTGGGGCTACATAGAATATTTTAGCATTTTAACACACAATATCAGCGCATATATCTTGAAACTACTGAGTAGAGATTAAGGCAAGCCCCTGTAAAGTTCAGTACTCCAAAAAACGTTACCAAAAAAGTTGCTTCCAAACCAGTGGCTTTAGACCTGATGACACCCCAATAGTCTTTAAAACAGTAGAGTTACTCTGAATATATTTGCATTTTCCCCCATTATTTCTAGGCTCTGTACATCAAAAGAGAAGTTTGAAGAACAATAGGTTGTATAACCGCAGGATGGGTGAAAATCAAGCAAGCAGAGTCTATGTGAGAAAAAGCACAGGGCCTGCTGGGATAAGGGACGTCCTCGTCACTGCTCATCCATCTTCACATTTGTATCCCTGTGTGTAGTGCTATGCATGGATAAACTTACGCATGGGAACGACCCATTCAATCAGAGAAATCTCTGAAAAACAGTCAAGGAAGATGGTGGAAATACGTCATAAAATGTACAACAACCCACAGCATTTAAATTGCTGCCATAAAATGCAAGAGCTCTCTCTCAGGAAACTGATTTGCAATTTTCCCATGTCTGTTTTAGCTGATCAAGTTAATTTATGATTTGTAGAACTATGCTATCCAAAAGCAAGTATTACAGCTCTCTAGTAACTGTCTTAATAAACAGTGAAGGCAATATCCTAATATGTTAGCTACTCTGAGTAAGGCTTAAAACCACTGACCTGTAGTGCTTTATTTTCCTGGTTATAGACACTCATGAACTGCTAAATGCAACTCAATCTGATGGGCCTGGATTATAGGTATATGCTGTAGTCTTGATTGGGGAACAGGAAATTTGCCTTCTTACAGTGTGAATGCTCATTTATGAAAACCTTACACTCACATTATCCGATGGAAGACTATAGATTACATTTAGGCTAATTAGATGTAGTTTAAAAAAGAAATTCAAGAACCTTTTAATCATTATTGAAATAATCTGAGGCTTATTTCTTTGATGCATAAGGATCATGCTTTGTAAACCTGCACTCTGATACTTCAAAAAGTCTTCTGATTACCAGAACAGCAGACTAATAAAGTTAAGCTATGAGTAGCCCAGGAGGCCTCCTCCAAAGTTATGGTAATATGGCTAAATCCTATGATTACAAAAGTGAGACCTGCTGAGAAAATGAGTTCCAGACAGGGACGTTTATGGATGACCTTGGCTGACAAATCTTTTTAGGAAACTGTTTATTTTTAAATTCTCTTCCCAACAATCCATGAAACACTTGGATGCCACTTTATGGTTTCTCAGTGAAAACACACTACATTGTTTATGGACTTTCAAAGTTAGACAAAGAATTGAACAAAACCTAAGGACGATACTATGAAAGGACAATACTAAAAATGCTAGGAGAGCTTCATTTGGTAAGACTTGCCCAAAGGACGCATAACCATGTCGTGCTGGACAGATAGAAAGGTGACAACCTTGTGCTTTTTTGCAACTATGGTATTTATCAAAACCTTAGTTTTATACAGGTGTCAACTTCCACCTGGAAAGGGATAGTTTTTACTATATTATACCTAAATTTACTTTAAATAACCGAAGCCCAAGGCAACAGATGCTTAAAAGAACTTAAAAAATAACTACATAATTTAGTACAATAAAATAAAACTAGGACAGTGATAGTTGAATGTTTCAAGAATATACAGCTGGGGAAAAGAACCACTGTACACAATTTGGAGGTTGTTAAAGTGACCGCTCAGGAGGGTGAACAGTGCAAGACATGCTTTTCCAGTTACAAGCTCAAAACAGGAGTGCAAACAAAATTAAAGCTTTTGTTAAAAGTTATAAGGAGAGCTTGAGAATATTAAAAGGCTTTCCTCAGGTCATCCCCAGAAATAAAATGATAAACTTTTTCAGGGTACAATTTTCTTCAATGAACTTTCCTTCAGTGGCAAAACTACATCCACAAGTTGGGCTCCCTATTCAGTCACAGCTGATCCATGAACACACAGTGAGGAGTCAGGATCACTACTAGTTCCCAGAGCTCTGATCTCAATAGAAAGAGCCTTGGGTTTGGGGTTCTGCCTTAGCCAGTGTACCTGAACCCTACAGAGAAGTACTAAAGCAATGGGCTTTAATAGTCTCTTGTTCCTGTAAAGCTGGAGGACAAATGGACTAAAAATTCTCCCCCTAGAGGCAAGCTGTTGTGGTGGAAGGTGTGAAGCTGGAGATGCTGCTCTATGAGGTGGAGAAGTGTAGAGGTTCAAGATCAATACCAGTGCAAGAGCTTTTTAAGTGAGCTGACTAGGCAATGCATGCATCCATCCATGCAAATGTAGGACATGGCCCCAAAGAAAACTGAAGACATATATATATAACAACTGGACACACCCCTCGCCAGTAGTTTATAAAAATATATAGTCAATACTGCAGAGGCGCCGTCTACAGTCAACGCTATGGAAGTCCTTTCAGTTACCCATGACTTCAATACCAAAAAGCATGAACTACTTTTCAGACATTCCAGACAAAGGTCACTTATAACAAAAAGTCAACTTTTTTAAAAACAAGATAGTGTCCATTTAAAAAGTAGATTTTTTTTTTCTTTCAAGTGAACAGGACATTTTATGTATTGAACTTAACTTCTAGTCTGTCAAGACTGGGTTTGTTTGAGATCTGTATGCAATGTGCATATATGCAGAAACAAACTTAAAACATTGTCTGCACAGGAAAAAAAGTTAGCTCCCCAAAACACGATAGTACGGGTCTGGTTAGTACAAGTCTATTGCAAAGTAAAAAGATTCTGTGCATCAGTTCCACCAGGAGAAGCGGGAAAAGAATGTCCAGCCCTAAGTTCAAGTGGAAATTGTGTTCTGAAAGCCTCGAGGCCTAGGAACACCACACTGCTCCCAGCATCCTGATAGGCATAACTGCTTAAGCTTCCTCTGCAGCTAGCTAGAGCCGCATGCACTCCAGTTCACTTTCTATTCCGAAGACGCTTGGATTTCCTAAGGGAGTCTATGGCTTCTGTTGCCTTCCTTCGTTTACGAGGAGACTCCTCATTCTGCCCAGACCCTGAGGAGGTTCCCACTGCACTTTCCATTACTTCTCGGAGCTTCCGTTCCAGCTCTGCCAACCGTGCGTTCTGTTCACCTATGATCTGGGTCTGCTCCAGCAGTTTCTGGTCTTGGTCTTGAAGTTGTTTCTGCTGTTCTTGCACTTTGGTGCGAAGCTCAGAAATTTCTCGCCTGAGGACAGTCACGCCAGCACCATTGGTTTTAACCTGCTGCTGGAGTTTGGTAACCTCTTGTCTTGAAGGGTTTTGCTTGGAGAAGAGCTGCATTGTTGTTAGGGCTGCAGATGGTCCTGGAACTGCAGAGAAAGTTTAAAGGGTCAGTCATGTCCTGCTCCCCTCCTGGTAACACACTCCAGCTTACTTCAGAGTGGACCATGCCTCTCATACTCCTGAGCATTCTTCTTCACAATCTCTTTGGTCTAATAGATTAATCTGCCCCTTGTTTTAGCTGAATGAGTTTCAAGTATCCTTCTCTTGCTCATGTGGCAACGGGGACGGCAGCAAATGGAGAAGAGTGTTCAATGTACACACTTGGGTTCAAAAGAGTTAATGTCAGGAATTATAAATAGTAAAATAGAAAATAATTATTTTCTATCTGATTTTTACATAAACAAATACAATGGCTGGGTCAGCATTATTGACCTTTATGAATATAAATTTCTAAGTCCACTCTACACTCAATTAAACGCAAAGGCTTCAACTGAGTCAAACAGCAAGGACTCCAGAAAGAGTGGGTTAAGACACACATGATGATTGGGAGTAATTTCTGGCATGGTGTAGGAAGGCCTTGGAACTATTTTCTTTTAGAAATAACTGGAATATGAAGTGGGCAAAGAATTCATTATTTTAAACTAACCACCTAGTTATTTTGTTTTTTTTTTTTAAAACCTTATCTCCAGGTTTTCTTTTTCTTGTTTTAAATTTAAAACTTGCTTATTTTTATTTTATGTGTATGAGTGTTTTGCCTGCAAGTATGTAAGTGTACTCATGTTATGCAAAGCCCATGGAAGCCAGAAGAAGGCACTGGATCCCCTGGAACTGGAGTAACAGATGGTTGTAAGCTGCCATGTGGGTATTGGGAACTGAACCTGGGTCATCTGGAAGAGCATCCAGTGCTCTTAACTGCTGAGACATCTCTCCAGCCCCTGGGGGATTATCTTAAAGAACCAGATGATCTATTCCTTTCCTAAATCAATCATGCTAAATTTACCCTAGTGCATCTAAATAACAACATTTTTGTTGCCTGAGATATATTCTAAATTCTACTCTTCACCCAATGCCCAGGTTATTTCTCACCTCTGGTGACATCTCAATCAGACCAGTCAATACTGCCTGTATCTTCCCTAAGATTCAGTCTCTGTTGTATTTGGCAGGTAGTTGGATATTGCCTTAACATTTCTCTTGCCTAAAATAACTTTGATTCTGGGTAGGTCTTGCCTTTTGAAACAGCAAGATCCCCAAGAGCACACACTGTGTATTACGTATTTTAGTTTCTTCAGGACTCATATGGTGCTATGTGTACCAACAGGAACTTAATAACACACATTAATGCTGAGCTGCCACAGTCTTTATTATTAAATCACACTGAGTAATTCAGGGAGATAACCAATTTGAACAAAGTAAAAAGGCTTACTAAAATATCCCTCTCTAATTAAAATAAATATGTAGAAGGCCTGGCTGTAAAAATTCACCAACTGAAGTTTAGTCCTTCAGTAGTAAGGGCACAAATTTCTGGGTTCTAATTGCAATCTCTAGCAAAACAGCCACCACAGAAGTGACAGGGGTCAAAATTCCTTTATGGAACCTGTCTTTTAAATTAGCAGAAATAACTCACTAGAGTATTCATGTGAAGAGTATTTTTGGTTTAATATGGCATACTTCTGCTTTTAAAAACTGAAAACTGATCAGAAACACTCCCCTTGTGTATACATAAATAACATGTCTTAGAATTGCTGTAAAGACCCACATGAGTATTTTAACTCATGTAATGGAAATGGGTAATATCACCATCTGCAGCACAGACTTCTGGGCACATTACAATACATTGCTACTTTAATAAAATTCATTGTAAGTCAACAGTTGTGGATACATGCAGACTTAGCCATGAAATGGCTCTACAGAGCATAATTTAATCGAAACACCAGAAATAGGGAGCTAGGGTTGTAGCCTTGTGGTAGAACATGGGCTCAGCATGCACAAAGCTCTGGGTTTAATCCTTAGCAACCAACCAACTAACCAACCAACCAACCAACCAACCAACCAACCAACCAACAAAACATGGTAAAAAAAATAGGTAAGTTACAAAACTATGCATGATTATTATTGTAAACTGAAGATATAATCAAGACATACCTGGAGGAGGGCTAGGTGTGGCAGAGGTGCACACTTATATCCTCAGCACTCAGGAAGCTAAGGCAGAAGGATCACCATGAGCTTGAGGCCAACTTGGGCTACACAGGGAATCTGAGGCCAGCTTGAGTTACATATACATAGTATGCAAACAAAACAAAACAACAAAATGATACCTGGAGGAGAGCCCATGAGTCTTCCAGAAACATCTGATCCTGGTAATTTCCTCTTCAGAATCGGAACAATCTTCTCATCGAAGTACTCCATTGCCATGGAGGAAATGTCCCTCAACTCTTGCAGCACCTCATGAGCTCGCTGTGGGGCTCTGGTAGAATTGACGTATCTTAACACACGGTAAATCTCATCGATCACCTGGAATAATGAATTCTCATCAGCATTTTAAATTTTTTAGAAAGGAAATTAGCTAAATGGCAAAGAAGGGATTACTTGTCTCATAGTTGCTATAAAGATGTAAAGAGCATTTTAACTCAAGTACTGGCCCTGGGTAATATGGCCACCTGCAGCATAGACTTTGTGCTTATTACAATACTTCATGCTTCGACTTTTTAAGCACCTTTACTATACCAGAGTACCATGCTGAAGCATAGCTCCTGCCTTGAAGGAAATGACAGAGTAACTGGGGAGACAGGTGCACACATGATACAGAGAGCTACATTAATTGCTAAAGAAACTGAGAATTAAACACTGAGAACTAAACTGAGAATTAAATTCTGCATGTAGTGGTAGGGTGGGGAAATCACCAAAGCCCACATTCTATGAATTCTCCAAATCTGATTCTGTCCCTGAGCCCCAGGAGCTCAGCCTGACCCCTTTTCTCTGTAATGCTACCATGTGCTCCATCCCTTAAGAGTTTGTTCTCTCTAACAGCCACACTTTTTTGTCCTCATCAAAAGGCAGCGAAACATCCTTTTCTGTTTCAGGACAATTGCAATGCCAACCACACAACACATGCAGAAGAAACCAAGCTCTCACACAGCTGATTCCTAATTCCCTTGTCTTTTGCTGAACAGTAACTGGATTTCATTAACCAAGTGTGCCCTCAGCCTTTATCCCTAGGTGGGTATCCTTAATATTTTACTGCCTTAAGTTTTACTGCTGATCTGAAGATAGTGATTCCCACTGTTCAAGCACACAGTTCAAAAACCATCTACTTCAATGGGATTTTCCTCACCAGAACTGTGGGCTTAAGTCAAACTACTCTGTCATCAAAGTCTCAAACAACCTCAAATCACACATATTTCTCCCACTACATTCATTCTAACTCTGGATCAGTCTAGTAATTTGCCTTTTCTTCTTGACTCAGAAAATGTTTGCTAGGGAAAAAGAATCATAGAACGTAGCAGAATAGTGTCAGGCAAACCCCCAATCCTTGACATTTTCTAGACTCTAGTATAAGGTGATGATCTTTGTCAGTCTAGAATGACACATGCCCAATAAATGTCAGCAAAATCAAACTGTTAGGAATTGTTCTTTTCATAAAGCCAAGACTTCACTGAAGGCCAGATCTGTGGGCACAGAGGACTGAACAGGAACGGACATGAGCTGAGGAGGAGCATGCAGGCAGACTTAATGGGAGATGCTGTTTTGAATCACACAGGGCAGTCAGGTGACACATGTCAGCAGGCATTGGAGCACAGGTCAGGAGTACAGGAGACAAACTGCAGATGATGGAGATTTCAGTGCGAATACAACAAGAGGGACTGAGATTACCAAGGAGAATGTGTAGAACCAGGCAGCCAAAGCCCAATTAAGACACTAATGGGTAATGCTACATCTATTTCTGAAATTACTATTCCATAAGGAGCTTACTTTAAAGAAAATTACTCTTTTCAATAACTTATTCAATTATCATGCTAGAAGACCAGTATATCTATTACAGAAAAAAATGATAAAAAATGGGTATCATCTCTTAGGCATAATTATGCAAACGTAGCCTAAAATCATAAGATAAAGTCTTTGTTGATGTCTTCTTATGTACTTGTGACAGTCCAGAGTACTGGAGTGAAAACCAGTGAACAGAGACGACAAGACTATTATTCAAGAAATTTCAGTAAAAAAGCAATAAAATGGGGCTGGAGAGATGGCTCAGCAGTTAGGAACACTACTGGCTGTTCTTGTAGAAGACCCGGGTTCGAATCCCAGCACCCACATGGCAGCTAACTAACTGTCCGTAACTCCTGTTCCAGGGGATCTGATTGCCTCTTCTGTCCTCCACAGGCATTGCACGACACGGGTACACTTACCTACATGCAGGCATAACACTCAATACACATTAAAAAACAAAACAAAACAAAACAAAACAATAAAATGATTTAAAATAATGCCACATAGGAAAAAAGAAGGAAGAAGCAAGTAATGCACTAGACAGGTGATTAGGAAAACTTTATTTCACACATTTAAGAATGAATGAAGAGATAGAATTGGTTACTTGAAAATGTGAGGAAAAACAATTCAGGGAGGAATGTGGCAAGGGTTACAAGGTGAGTGTTGACTCAGCTTCTTCAAGGAATTCAAAGGCTACAAACAGGTACTACTTTGCATAACATATATAGAAAATAATAGACTCCAAATAGGATCCAATATACTTTTTGCAAAGGTTATCAGTATTAGCTATACATGTAACTTATCAAACACTTAGCAAAAAATTAAAAAATTCTACATAATTAAGAAATTGTTAATAAAAATAAAAATATAACTCACAGTAGGAGTACAGTATTTAAAAAGGTTGACTAACATTTTATATGCTTGTGCTAGGTTAAATGATTCACTGTAGTTTTGGTTATATCTAAAGTTTCACATGTGGGTTATAAATAAGAAAACTGTAAAAATCCACTGGACTTTTTTGTTTTTTATATTGTTCTAAAGACTAACATACTGCAACCACAGGTACATTTCAGCCATTAGCTCTGTGAACTAAATCAAGCCCCTTTCTTCTGTCCATTCTGATCTGATCTATTTTCTGGAGTGCTCTCCATGTAGCTCTCTTCAACACTAAATTCTTTACTTACTCTTGAGGTCTCCTAACACTTTACCATCTCAGAGTAGTCTTCTCTGAACATTCTTCTGGTTGAAATCATGTTAAAACTTTCATCAAACCTTTTAGTTTCCCCTCAGAATATGTACTACACCTTTAAGTACACCTTTCTGCTGGTCTGCCTTTCCCATGATATAGTAAGCTCTAAGAGAAGAAATCATGGCTAGTTTCATTCTCACACACCCAGAGCCTCACAGTGCTTGGCACATGCCTGAACTCCATATATGTTTGCTAAATAAGGCTAGAAGCAGTCAAATATTCTTATTGTTTAATATTGATATGCCTAAACAAAAATATTGAGGGGCAAGCTACAGGGTTAAATTCAATATAAGAATATGGTTTAGGGGCTGGAGAGATGGCTCAAAAGTTAAGAGCACTTGTTGCTCTTAAAGAGGACTCGGGTTTCATTCCCAGCACTCACATGACATCTTACAACCAGGTGTAACTTTAGTTTCAAAGGCTCCAATGCCTTCTTCCAGCTTCCACAGGCACTGCATGCATGAGGTGTACTTACATTCAGGTAAAACACTCGTATACATTAAAAAAAAAAAAAAGCGTATCATTCGAATCTTAGATATTATGTATATGCACATAAATATTGGTGGAATATCTGCAGTATGTTTAGACTAAACTAGGAATGTTTACTTTAATCAGGTGTGAAAACACACAGATCCTACTCAGTAATAACTCTGTGAATGAGACTCATAAATAGCAAGGCATTACATCACACAGACTATAGTAAGTTCAATGTACAGACAAAATGCTGTACATGAGAAAAGGCAGAAGAGATAAGCTCGATTTAAGGGAACTGGGCAGGTCTAATGAGGGGCACGGAATGACAAATGAGTAAAATCTCAGCAGGTAAGGAGAGCAGAGAAGGAAGGACAGGGAATACTGGTTACAGGCGTGGGGCCCATGCCTGCAATTCCAGTGGTGAAGGGGTAAAGGCAGGAAGACCATGGGTTTAAATTAAGGTCAGCCTCCGCTTCACAGTGAGATCCTCTTTCTAAAACATGAATGAATGAATGAATGAATGAATGAATGAATGAATACAACAGACAAAACAAAAAATAAGGAAGCAAAAGAATGGACGGGGGCAGCTGGATAACACGAAGGTGACAAGATAGGAAATCAACATCTGTGAGGTATTACTGTCTACCCAGCATTTATTCTAAGGTATGTTCTTAAAAACTAACATTGTAGAAACAATCTTTTTCATAACCCATACTCGTCAAAAAGAATTAATCAAAATATACTGAAATGATTGATAACAGACACTAAATTACTGTTATAAACTAACCTATGAATTATTTCTATTTTTTCTCTATTTAGTCTTCTACATTGACTGGGTTAGGAAAGGTCACATTTTCAAACCTTATTACACAGAGATGTTAGACATGTGGGATGATCCATACCATCAATAAAATTTGAAATGGTCTCTTTCCTCTGTCCAAAAGCTGTAAGTGGAGACACAATGAAAAAAAAGGGAAACCAAACCAGTCCACACCACGGCAGAACTGCACCGCACCGCCCAGTTAGCCAGCAGCAGCTGCAAGGGCTTCCCACACTGGCTTGTGTTGAGAAAGCACAGTATTTACCACATTTTAAAAGAGTTCAAATTTTCACAATACATTTGGTCATTTCCATAAATTACTTTGAATCCTGGTAAGGGACACCTGAAATTCCAGCACTCAAGGCTGAAACAAGAGAACTGTGACTTTGAGGTCAACCTGAACTACATGGCAAGGTCCCATCTCAACACCAATAAGAAGTAAAGCAAACCCACAAAATACTCTGAGATCTGTGGAAGGCTACAGACCTAAAGCAGGTCCTTAAATGGCTGTTTCTATGTCTTTCAAGTAACAGGTGACACATGGAACCAAGATTAAAAAAAAAAATTTCAAAGTTTAAAAAGTATTCAAATTTTGAAAAATGTCTTCCATATTCAAAATTACTCTGAATATTCCTTATATGGGATACGTTTGTTTGAGTTATATCTTTTCTAATTTCTTTCACGATACTTCATTTCTTTTAGAAAACTTTAAGTTTTCTATACTACGGGTTCCTCAATTGTTCATCCTGTTTTATTCTGTTACTTTTTAGTCTGGAGATTCTTTGTTATTTGCTTATTTAAGACAATGTGTGGGCCAAAGAGATGGCTCGGTGATTAAGTAGTTGTTCTTGCAGAGGACCCAAGTTCGATTCCCAGCACCCACATGACAGCTAACAACTGTATACCCGTAACTCCAGTTCCACGGGATCTGACAACCTCTCCTGACCTCCATGGGCATTGCACGACACCGGTGCACCTACCTATATGCAGGCAATATACTCATATACAAAACAAAAATAATAAAGTATTTTAAAAAAAGACCATAGCACATAAAAAGCAGATCAGAGCTTTCTAGTTCTACAAGATGGTTGGAGCAGGAGAGGGAGGTCTAAAAATTTAACACAATAGTGACTGGAAGATGGCTCAGCAGTAAGGAGTGCTTCCTGCTCTTATAGAGGACATGAATTTGGGTCCAAGTTCACAATCACCTGTAACTCTAGCTCCAAGGGGTCAGACACCTTCTTTTGGTCTCTGCAGGTACCCAAACACAGTGACATTCAGTCATACAGCCACACATACACATTAATACCAATTCTCCTTTATTTTAAGGGCTCATGCCTTTAATATGGACTAATCATAGTAAAAGAAAAAAAAGTTCTCCTCTTGACTTTTTTTTTTTTTTTTTTTTTTTTTTTTTTTGGTCTTTTTGAGACAGGGTCTCCCTGTAGCCCCAGCTGTCCTGGAACTCACTATGTAGACCAGGCTGGCCTTGAACTCAGAGAGATCCACCTGCCTCTGCCTCCCAAGTGCTGGGATTAAAGGCGTGTGCCACCACGCCCGGCTCCTCTTGACTTTTAAGAGCAGCTTCATAATAAAATCAAATTTAGAAAGAAATAAAACCAGGATAGTCTAGAAACATTAGAAAAACTTAAATTGAATGCCATTTCTCACAGGAGTTGACCTATGCTATACAGGAAGCTGAAGATCAATACAGCCTAGGAGCCTGTTTTAGACTCTAAGTCCAAACACAGTCCTGAATTAGATTCTGGACTGAGAAAAAGCTGCTAGGAAAAGTATTCCTGGGACATGTAATAAAACCTGAAATACATAAAATATTTAAGAATCAAGAGTCAGTATGTCTCCAACCCACTTCAAATGATCCAAGAAAAAGTGAGACGCATATATTAAAGAGAAAATGAAAGCAAACAGGACAGACTGTATACAACTACAGGATCTGGGTAAAGGAATGCTACAAACCCCCATTTTATTTCCTAGAATATTAAAAACAAACCACTCACATCTAATGAGTAGATTTTAGGTCTGTGTAGAGATATTTGGTAGCTTCCTGACCTTATACCATCATTCACACTTGGCCAACCTGAGCTGGGTTTCACTGCTGCAGCTCCAGAAGAGTTAACTGCCCACTGCCAGCATGCAGCGCAAGTGTGCATGCGGAAACTGCTCTTGCCAGACATAAGCTTAGAAAAAGAGCTGCTTCCTTCCATGTAGTAGAATAAAGATGTGAAAAATGCATACAGGAGGTGACATCTTGGCTCTGAGAGAAGGTGAATGCAAGTGATCAGTGTGCTGGTGAGGTCTGGCCAACTATAGCCTTGCTTGGTCTGTACACAGGCACACCCACTCATTTACTACATGCTGTCCAGTGTCTCTCAGAGTTGAATACTTGTGACAAAACCCACAGAACCAAACATATTTACTCTCTAGCTTTGCTGATCCTTACCCTACCCTTACACACTGTCTCAAAACTGTGGTATCTGGCAACCTAATTTAAATTACACTGTTCTATTTGCCAGACTCACTTAGCAACTTAGTAAGTGCTGAGTGTACATCTCAATTTTAGCAAAATAGATATTCAATGATATAAAAAACACAAAAATAGTAATTTTTTGAAACAAAGTTCCTGAACTTTTATAACCAAGGAATGTAATCCTGGAGACAAGAAATCATATACTAAACCAAGATTATAACTGAGAGGAAAGAAAATTATTTAGAATGTTTATTATAGTTTGGACCTGGAGTGTCCCTTAAAAGCCCATGCATTAAAGGCTTGGTTCCCAGTTAGGTGCCACTTATAAGTTGTGAAGCCTTTAAGAGGTGAGGCCTCGTGGAAAGGAGTCAGGTCATTAGAGACACATTCTTCAAGAGGCTACTGAGATCCCATTTCTAGTCTCTCTGCTTCCTGGCCACTATGGCCTCTAGCACCCGTGCTCCCACGATGTTATTCTATACTATCAGAGGCCCAAAGCAGCAGAGCCAAGCAACCATGGACAGAAAACTGAAATGTATGAGTTAGAATGAAACTCTTCTCTTTCTAAGTTGATTACCTCAAGAATTGTATTCAATAAAGGACAGCTAACACAATGTTCTTAGTGGAGCATGTGGAAATTAAATGCTACACATTCTTTTATGCTGAAGACAGTACATGATCAGTTTAAGGATAAGAAATATTTTTTTTTTAAAAGAAGTGGTTATGAAACAATCCAAATACTATGTGCCCTATAACTTATTTTAATTTAAATAAGATAAAAAGCACCAGTAACATCATTTTTAGGAAAGTAACAATTATAAATATATAGACTGTTGTTTTAGGCAGGATGTAAACTATTAAAGAAGGTAATTTTAAGGCACACACAAAAAAATCAAGTTGAATTAAGTACAATAAAACATCATCTGAATAAAAACAAAAATTATGATTGTTTTATTCTAGTCAAGTACAGCATTACAGGAGAAAAACTACTTAGGATAAATTCTTATGAAGCAAGAAGACAGGAAGAAAGCATTGAGATAACCAAGAAACCGGATGCTGCGGACAGCTCTCCTTAAGTCCATTTATTTGGCCTCAGTTTTCTGCTTATAAAATAGGACAGCGTTATTTTCTATCTACCATATATGGCTGAGATGGAATGTAAGCAAGGTGCTATGTATAAGAGTGCTCTGAACAGGAGGAAATGCTTCATAAACACCAAACAGCATGGACGAGAGGGGGACAAGACTGTATGTCCTGAGGAAACGGAGGCACAGGTCACTGTGCAGTCATGTGAATCTGATCAACTCCAAGACTGGCAATTCTGTAAAGCCAGATACAAAATGATCACCTTGCAGGCCCTGACTCCAGATACAAACTACTTCCCTTTGTCAGTGGACACCTGGCAGAACTTTCTCTGAGGTTATGAAGACTGTGAGTTGTTTTTCAAGTTTATAGTAGTACTCCAAGTCATACAAATTGTCAACTGGAAGGAGAGTCCATACAGGCTCAGAGGACTTTGCAACAGCTCAGAGTTAGGGTCTATAAACCAGAGTTGCATGAAATCCAACTCTGGCATCAAAGTTTATACTTAGTCATGCTCTTACAGTACCTTACAAAAGCATGTGAAAGTCATGGGAGGAAGATACACCAAGGAATATTTCAAGTAAAATTCTAAGCCACTAAAACAGATGCTACTGGAAGCTGAGAATGGAGACAGTAAGGTATGCAGTACTGCCATCAGAAGCTATTTATGGAAGTAACAGGGTACCCTATAACTTGGCTAGGCATTAAGATGTGCCAATCCTGTGGGAAGGCCCTTTTACCAGTGTCAATTCTGGAGCAAAATGATCTTTGAATCCATTTCCAGGGCTTCTATATCTTATTTGAATTTACTCTTAATTCAACAAGCAGGATACTCCCAAAGGTTTAAGGGGCATGCAGCATGCAGCATGGTGGGGTCTTACCAACTCAGTGATGGGGCATGTGCCACTGGATATACTTATTACCATGCTAAAGAGGACAATGACTTAACTCTGAGTGCACTGTTATGTAGCAATATTACTCTGATCAAATCTGAAAGTTTAGAAGCTCATTATTATGAAACATTTCTCAAACAAAACCAAAACCAGATAATTTACCTATTCTAATTAACCTTCCCCTATCTTGTTCAATGTAGTATTTCTAGCATTTTAACAAAGTAAAGGTCAAAATTTTTTCTTGATTATGAACTTACCAAGCTTCTCAACAGAAACATCTGCATGTAGACTACTGTATACTTTGTAATTAGAATTGTAAATATCAAGATCACATGAATGACATATATTTATAACTATACAGAAGCCAAATAGACCCACTAGTAGAAATTTAAAGAAGTTGGGAATAATTCTGTCATCTCAAAAATCACCTTGAAGTTTTAATAGCTTCGAGTTCACACAGGCAATCCAGTTGCTCTGGGCAAGCAGCCCCAGCTTACCTTTCCTGGGATGAAGCAACAGAGATTGGAATCCACATACTTCATGAAAGTCATATTTAACAGTGACAGCCTTGTTTCCACTGCAGCAAGGATGTCTGCGTGACGAGCTAAAGAATGGTTTCTCCTTTCTGACTCTCTCCTAAAACAGCAATAAAAATAAATGGTAGCCAGTAGAGCAGCAGAGTGAAATGCTAACCATCAAAATGCCCTCTTCAAACAGAGAACTTCGACATGCTAACTCAGACATTGACAATGGGGTCATCATAACTAAAATGAGGAATTAGTCACTGTGCTCAGATATCTTTAAGGACCCCCTACTCATTAATAAAACGTTTCCTAAAAACCACTTTACCTTAAGAAGCAGGGAGGGTAGCTCAGGGGTAGACCACCTGTCCAGTATGCATAAGGCACTGTGTTTGGTTCCCAACATGCCCCACCAAAGAAACGTATTTGACTACATCAAGCCTCATGGTTATAATAATCAGAGAAAACAGATAAAAGATGGAATTAAATATGGACACACAGACAAGAGACGTGTTTCGCAAAAAATTTATCTCCTTCAATCTTTTTTAATAGTTTTATTCAGAAATAACTCATATAAAAGTCATTATTTTCTTTATGTATGAAACACTGCCGTAATCCAATTTCATAAAATCACGTTTTCTTCTAAGGACTTTAGAGTACAATGCTAACATTTACAATGAGGTCTACAGTCCTTTTTGTACAGGGTGTGGTAGGGCTCAACTTCTTTACATACAGAATAGGTTGTTCCAGCCCCCATTTTTAATATTTATTTGTTTACTTAGTGTGTGTGTATACACGTGTGTGCATGGGCTCATGTGTGCTCGTGGCGGTCATAGGGACAGCCTGTGGAAGGCAGCTTTTTCTACCATCTGGGTTTTGGGGCTAGAACTCAGGTCATCAGGCTTGGCAGCAAGTACCCTAACCAGATAAGCAATCTTGCCCTTCCCACCTGTCCCAATTTTTAAAACATTATTTTTTCCCCAACTGAACTATCCTAGCATCTTCATTGAAAACCAACAGATGCTCAATTAATTCCACTGATCTATGTGTTGGTCTGTCACTATGCCTGTACCACGCTGATCTGACTACTGCAGCTTAGCAGCACGCTTTGATATCAGGAAGTATCAGTCTTCTCAGAACTATGCTAGCTCTTCTAGGTCTCTTCTATTTCCACAAGCATGTGATATCAGGAAGTATCAGTCTTCTACTCAGAACTATGCTAGCTCTTCTAGGTCTCTTCTATTTCCACAAGCATGTGAGGATCAGCCTGTCTAATCCTAAGAAAACCCAACTGAGACTAGCCAGGATTGCACTGTACATGTAGATCAACTGGAAGAACTGCCACCTTAACATAAAATCTTCTAGACACAGTGCCCTATTTAGGTCTGTATTGTTTCCCTCCTCTCTCTTCTTGCTTTCATTTTGGTTTTTTGAGACTCTTTTCATTTTTAAATTCAAAGATAAGATCTTATGTAGCCCAGGCTGGCCTCAAACTTGCTAATGTAACAAGGCTAGCCTTGAATTCCTAATCCTGCTCTACTTCCCAAGTGCTGAGACTACAGAAGTGGACCATTCACCTTACTCTTCTTTGATTTCTTTCAACAGTGTTTTGTAGTTTTCAATGTAGTAGTCTCATGCTTTTTTTGTGGTATTTATTACTACATCGTTTATTCTTTTGGTATCACTGTGAATGAAATTTCTAATTTCATTTTCAGGTTAGCCATCTCTAGGGTACAGAAGACACCTGATTTATGTAAATGAGTGGGAGTTCATCCCCACTGAACTCTATCATCTCTAACAATCTGTCAGTACGCTCCCTGACGGAAGATGGAGATTTACTTCCTCCTTTCATTTTATCTTTCACCGACTACCTTGGCCACAGCAACCTACAGAATGCTCAACACAAACAGCAAGAATGGGCAGGTGACAACAGACCCGATAATTGTGATGGGACATCCTTTGCTACAAAAGTTGGAGCCATTTATCATGATAAATCTGAGCTTTAAAGAAAAGACATTAAAAAAAAAAATTACCCCCACCCTGTGAAAGGAATACCCCTGCCAGTTAGAACATACCTTGGCAGCTGTGCTTTGACTTGTTTCTGACATAGATTATGGTACCTCTCCACTTTCAGAAACCCCTGATTCAACATTCTCTGACATACCAAATCCATTCTTTTACAGACCTATGAGCAGATGGGAGACAGAATTTTTAAAAAAGAAATAAAATCCATAACCATAATGAGCTTCAATGTCTACCTGGGGGCTGCAAGTCTTCTGTGACAGTACTCCCCCCAAATTGCAGTCTGACTCTGAATCAGTGCCATGTAATTACACTGGTCCTCTACAGTACTGCACTAAGAGATTCCTATTGTTGTTGGCATATTAGTATCTTTTATTCAGGTGGGAAGTGACTATACTGTCTGTAGTACTGAAGGTCAGGAACAATGTACCTGAAACTTTTAGTTTGAGACAAGAAAAATTTCCTTTATCCAAAAAAAAGTATATTCAAATTTTTGTCTATCTCACAAAACTTACAAGCTCTATAAGCAGAGTGAGCGGTCTATCTCTTCCAGTGATTTGGGTCATGATGGTCAAAGCTTTTAGAACGGATGCTATTACACTCTTCTAGATAGCTTACTGTACAGCAGAAAGGCAACTACTAAGTCCTGAAGAAACAGGGTTTTATTTTAATACTTGTAAAAGGTACTTACTGGTTTTTTAAATTTTATTTTATTATTATTATTAT